TCGAACAAGTCATCAAAAAGGTTTGCAGCCATCAATTCTAGAACGCCCCCATCCACCCGCACTTTGATTAATTCCATCCTTAAATTGTTTTGACACTTGGCACTTCCTAAATTCGGAATTCTAGTCTGTTTACTCGGCTAATCCCACAAAATCAGCACAAGTAATTTACAAACGGACACATGGCATGGCAAATTAAATATTTTTAGGACTATTTTTTAAAAAGTTTAAAAAATTTTTTTTTGTTATAAGCTATAGATAGAACTGCAAAAGGTTTTACTAGGCCTATAAAAATATTATAATTGTTCTAGCTCTTTACAGATCCAGTTATAGACGTTACCTATAAAAAGTTTAAGATAAAAAGAAACTTGTAGAAAATGGTTTACTATCATAAGTAAACATATAAAGGTAAATCTTAATAACCCAGTTACCATAAAAAACAAATCCCCTAACAATAGGTAGCACGGATTAAAACTAATCGACTGTTGAAATGTGACATTATTAGCAATATGTTACTGGAATAATAACAAAACGTCATTAAAAAGCCATATGTAAATAATGAGTAACAAGCCATAATAATAACAAAGTTATCAAATAAACAAGAATATGGAAAAAAGTCTTATCGTCAATAGTTTAAACTTAAAAAAGGCTGACTAGGCTTGACTCGATTTGGCTTTCTCCCTTGAGTTTGGGCCAAGCCAATACAGATTTAAAACTAGCTGGGGCAGCATCAAGAATCGATGCCTAAAGCCAAGTAAGCAAAGCCCAGCTTCGGTCTCGCAATCTTTTACATTACTTGAGAAAAGTGTAAAACAGATCTAAGTTGTCTAGTATAAGATGACAGGCTAAAAAATTTGATTGGTCCTTTTACAGAAGTAGTCGTTCATTTATAGGGTTTTGATGGTATAAAAGCGAAATAACTTAACTTTTTTAACTTACTGATATCCTTGCTTTAAGCAACAAAATGGTAAAGAATTGAAGCAAAGTCAAAAATTTTAAAATGCAACACCATTATTAAGCTTGACCACAAATTCTTGGCCACAAATCAATTTTTCTCTTTTTTTTATTTAACAAAGGTAATTTCAAGAATTTGTGAGAAAAGATACAAATCTTTGAAATTAATAGTCAACATACGCCAAGATAAAGTCATGACATTTTCTTTACATTACTAAGGACATCTGCTTTTAACACTATGATTTATTTTCTATTTACATATATTAGTTATAAAAATTTGTTATTATTTACTTAAAGAAAACATCAAAAATAACTTTGTTCTGTGCCCTTTAAAATCTATTTTTACGTTGAACGCGTCACAATGAAAGGTCTTAAAATATAAATTATAAATTGGCCTTTTAACAGCATAACACACGGCCGTTTCTCGAACGGTTTATGGGGCATATTAATTGTTTTCTTTAACCTTAGTCTTCAAGCGTAAATTTTTCTTATTTTCCTCGTAATATACGGCAGTTTGAAATACAATGCTACAAACGGTAAAATACGCAATCTTGACATATGGGGTACTACTAGCTAATGAAGTTAGAGTTAAACTAACAAAAAAGCAAGCCAACGATAAAGCTAGAGGTAGAATTAAAATTAGACCTAAAGCTAGAGCCAGAGCCAGAGCCAAAGCCTAGACCCAGACCTAGACCTAAACTTAATACTGAAAAAAGCTAAAACACAAAAAATAAAGCAAAAACAAATGTCAAGAGTAATTGTTGTAAAGAAATCCTAAAGAGTAAGCCATAGAGTCATGTTGACTGTTGTTATTACTCTGTATATGCCAAATCCGTACGGAGATAAGAAAAGTAAAGTATTCAGGAAAAAACATAAAAAAGCCATTTATAACAAAAAATAGCTTTAATTGAACTAATTTTGGATATACAAAAACAATAAAAAAGGTTGACTTGTACATATAAAAGTAGCATAAATGTCTTTACTATATGTATATCTTACTTACGATAAAAGATATATACGTATAAAAGTAAGGCAGATATACAGTGGAACTCCTGTATAACGAATTCTCCTATAACGAAACTCCCGTATAACGAACAACTTTTGAATCCCGGTCTACCACTACACAGTGCATTTAAAACTCCTGTATAACAAAACTCCTTTATAACGAACAAATTTCTAGTCCCCGAGCGATTCGTTATGCAGGAGTTCTACTGTATATATAGTTATATAGAGCAGATATATACAGTTATACAGTTATTGGCACATAAAAATATGGTAAAATACGACGAAGCAATGTTCGCTTTCTATAACTATCAAAACTGTAAACCAAACGTAAAACAGCCAATAGTAAAATTAATTATGAACGTCATAGTAATAAAATGTTATATGAAAGACAAATATTATACTAGAAATTTCGAGACTTTAAACAATAACCGGTTGTCACGCAATGGTCTTATATTAACATCAGGTCCAAATAAATGCTAATTTTTGGTATTTACATAGTGACAAACTTTTGGTTTAGTATTTTTTATATCTTTACATTATGTTAAGCACTAGTAAAAATAGTTTACAATAAGTGACCGGTCAAAAACTAACAAGAAAAACTAAATTAAAAGCGAAAAATATACAAAAAAAGCTATATTATACTGATTTTTGAATTATACCTTTAACAAATCCCAAAATTTATATATAATAAAATTTTGTAGATACTACAACATCTTCTGAATATAATTCTCATAGTAACTAATACCCAAAAATCCTTATCACTTTCAAATCAAGCCCTCAAGCACAACAAGAACGGGTCAAATCAGTGGTTGAGGGTGGTGTCGCTTTGAGACGAGGGTCATTCCAAACAGCTGCTTGGCCACATTTCTTGGCCTTAATTCGTTCCGAATCAGCTGAAAAGATAATCAAAATACAAATGTTTTTCGAAAAGATATCAAACAGGCGTTGGGAAAGAACAACAAGAAATATGATTGAATTGAAAGAAAGTAATAAATTTCTAAAAAAATTTTTAAAAATATGAAAAACTAAAAAAAAAGTTTTAAAACATTATTACAGTTGTCTCTCTATATAGTGAACCATCTGTATAAGCAACTCTCCTTATAGAGAAACTACTGTATGTTAAAAACGATGTAGTTTTTTATATGATACGACTATACAGTATTAGAAAACGCCGTTTACTTTGTAGTTAACGATGATAAATTTGTCTAACTATTTTAGTCGTTTTATAAGTTAATGCGTTTATTCCTAGAAGTACATGGCGGCAAAACCCGCTACTTGTACTTCTTTATCAAGCATAAGTACTTACTTTGTTAGTACTAGAAAACGCTGTATAAAAAAAGATTTTAAATTTGTTCTTTATGATAGAGTTTTTGTGTAGAAGAGTTTTAAATACGATGTGTAGTGTTAACTAGAGATTTAAAAGTTGTTTGTCATGAAATACAGTATTTTTGTTATACAGAGCATGTTAACTTATAATATTTGTCAGTCAAGTATTTATAATTTTCAAGGGATTTTAGAAGTAAAAATATTGTTAAAGTTTAGAAAAATAATATTCACACGTGAAAAGTGACAGATAACATCAGTTTTCACGTCGAGATACGATCTCATTGCTTTCTCGTAAATTTGCATAGTGTTTGTATTAGAGATGATCATGTCTAGAAGACCGTATCTGTTCTTAATACTTTTGTCTTTGACTTACTACTTTTTACAAAGTTATTTATCTTATAATACTTACAAATTGAAGGATGATATTGAGAGTACAGTGTTGGCTGCTTACAATGAGTTGAAAAATTACCGTGACATTGCTACTCTTGATCCTGTTTTGTAGGTTATTAATGTTGTTTTGTTTCTTTACCTTTTATCTTTTTTATCGCTTGAAATGTGTTTGAATTAAATTTAAAAAAAGGCTTGTTATGTTTGGCCTTAAGCCGGGCTGGGCCGGGCCGATAATAAGCTTAGGTATTTTATGTTGTTTAGCATTAAAACTTTTAGGTACAAGCCAAACTTTTGTGTATATTACAACTACTTTGCTGTTGACAATAATGTGACTGATAAAATTGGACTGGTTTTACATTGTACACCTGATCTATTATCATATTTGGTCAAGCAGTTACAAACATTTGACTCTGTCATAAGTTTAGTCGTCTACATACGGTATAAAATTGAAGACAAAATTGATGTAAATTTTTTAGTATTATCTACGAAACAGCCAATTATTGGCTTATTGTTTACTGAAGGGTAAATTCTTGTACAGTATATATTTTTTAACGTTTTAGCTACTGTTCAACGCATTAGAAGGCATAAGAACAGTCTATAACACCAAAAAACTATCTATACACATTGCGATAGATACAGAAACTCAACGATGCCCATTAATCATGTACCGGAAGCTACCTAAAAAGCTGGTTTTTAACATAAACTTTGTCGATTTAATGGTAAGCAAATATTTTTAAAGAATTATTCAAAGTTGAAACATGCACATTTGCGCTCTTTAGGTCTCATCACGACAACTAATTACTTCGCATTCCGTATCATCTACCTTGACCATCTACTGACCGTGTTCTCTGTCTCTTGACTCGAACTGCCTGACCGGTTTTCTCTTCACTTGTGCTGACCAACGTTAATGGTGCGGAATGCCAACTAACTCGTTCTCGTGGTGGGACCTATAGGATCGTGCTTGGTTTAACCTAAAGCATACTTTTGTTGATATGTTATTGAGAATACGATAAGATCAAGTAAAAATGTTATTATTAACAAAGAACTAATAAAAAACATTTTATTTTACCAAAAAATTGGTATTAAAATATAGTTTTTCTAAACACTACAACAATCATAAACTTATAAAAAATCTCAAAAATTAAAAATAATTTTAGATATCAGACTTATCTCTACTAAAACCCTCAACATCTACGGTATATCCTGTAAATATGCTGCGTAACATTGGCCGAATACCCTTGAAAACACCGTATTTTATCAGTGGAGATATCGAAAACATATTCAGTGACAATTACCTAAATTTACTAAACCATCAAATAGACAAGCTAATGAACCCAAAAACAGTGCTTATTCATAGACGGTTTGAGTACGATGATACTGTAATCAGTGATGGTCATTTTGTTCCAACAAATTTTGAAGTTTTGAAACTGTTTTTAAAACGAAGATGGTCTCATGTCTTCCACAAGATTGTTAATAAAGATGGGTTTGAAATTAAAGGTTTACAACAGTGGTTGGATGGTAAAGAGGCTGCTGGTGGTATTCAAACGGTATGTTTTTAAATCAGAAGACGCAGATGACGTATTTTACAAAATTATGTTAAAACCAAATTTGTTGCCAAAAGTTAAAAAAACTATTTTTTTAAAAATACGCATCAACTAACCCCTTTGATCAAAATACAATTTAAAAAATAAGAATTCATTTTAGAATAAAATAACTATTTTAGGAAGTAAAATATAATAACAGCAAGTGGGAACCACAATTTGTTGCACTAAACGCTGAATCAACTCCATTTCACGATGAAACCTTTCTGTATCGTTCTCGTTCAAATGTTCAGTGGGTAAGAATAGAAAAGTCATATTTTTAGACTAAAAATCTTAATTTACCTTTATAAGTTTTAGGCCTAGCCAAAATGATAATAATAAACGATTAAAACAAGTTTTTAATATAAAAAAGAAGACCTGTGCTACCATCAACACAAAAAGAAAAGCCCATTGATTGCGCTTACAATAACTTTTTATAATGCTGCCATTCCCATTACAGGTCCATGAACTGTGTCGAGCAAACTTTACCTTCAAAGTGCTGAACCGTGTCTTCACTGTTCACAGCGGAATCAAACGTGCTGAAAAACAAGAATTTCGAGAACTTATTGATAAGGCTGTTCAGTCTGGATTACAAAAACAAATTTTGACAAACTTTAAAAATCGACTAGATCAAATGTACCCTTATACTGAAAAGTTTTGTCCGTTTTTTGATTATCCAAAATAAAAAATTTTAATTGATTCATGAGAGAAGCCGGACCGGACTGAAGAAACCAGCCCGGGTCTTTTGAAAGAGTATAAACCTTAATTTGGGTCCGGCTCGGCCGTTTTACAAGTCTAATCACCTTTTTGATCTAAAATCCAAAACTTTTAACATTTTTCAAGCCGTCTAAACTCAAGCAGCTAAGGAATGTAACAGTAAAACAGTTACCGTAACAAAGCCATAAAACCCGCAAACCCATAAAGCTTTGACAAGTTTTATGCCCTGAAGGCTGGGGGGAAGCTGCCGTTCCAATTTTAATTTGTCGCGCATCTTCAACGCCCACTTTTTGGAATTTCCGTCGCAAACATTCTTCTTCCGTTCGAGTCGAGATGGCGACGATCGGAATTTCCAAAAAATGTTTTTTTCGCAATTTTTCGATTCTCGGAATTCGGTTTTTGTTTCGCTAAATGAAAGTTGTCAAATTTCGAAATGGGTTTGATAGCTTTAGGGTTTTGTCTGGGATTTGATTGTTGATTTTTGAAGCTATAAAGAGCTTTTGATGCCTAAATTGGTAGAAATTGTAGGAAAGGGTGTTCAGCTTGTTTTAAAATTTTCAGCTAAAAACGAAAGAAGAGGGGACATTATTTTGTTTACAGCTACCGGAAGCCTAACTTTAAAAAATCTTTGCATACAAGGAAAGTTTCCAACCTGCCTCGTTCTGATTTACTTTAACTTTTATATATAGTAACCCCATGTAAATCTTTATATATAGTATGATCACGTTAAAGAATAAGAATAAGATCATCAGCAAAGTAGCAAATTTCGCTTTTCAGTCAATTTCAAGGAAATCAAGATCAAAAAATTACGTTTTGAATTTCCCGCCAAATCGGCATTGTGTTTCAAGCTTATAACTTTGTCATTTTTGACTTTTAACTATTTTTCTTTGCAATACTAGTAGAAAACCTTTAAATGAACCTACATTTTTAAATTTGTAAGTGTAGCCTGTCTGGAAAAGCAAAAAAGTGCTTGAAACACAATGCCAAGTTTACGAAATTAGCGGGGAACTAAAATATTTTCATTTTAAAACTCAAAAGCGCTAGCTGAAATTTTTTATGGGGACTATTGGTGGTACAAAGAATTTATGTAAAGGTTTTGGCTTATTTTAATTGGGATAGATTGGATACTTTTCCTGTCAGCGATAGTAACCGCTCTTTCTAACCAAACTTCGTTGGCTTCTAGTACATTACCTTCTAATCCTAGCTCAAATTTTATTTTTTCTACAATTTCTATTCTCATTCTTTTGCAAATTTTTCACAAAAAATCTAGGAACGACGTTCCGTGCCGGACAGTCATTTTAGCTGGTTCACATCATCTTCTTTCGATGACTCAACGCATTTTTGCGAAACGCCACACGTGAAATTTCTCTTGTTCCATCGCCGTTCCCACCGTTCTTATTATTATTTTTTTAAGGCTACTGTGCTTGGCAAGAGCTCAGGAAATTGTTATCTAAAAAATATTTGAGGGGTGATTTTGGCTGGTAGGATTAAAATTGAAAGACAAAAATTTATGTTAAGGTTAAGCTTGTCAGAGTTAAATTTTAAGTATAGTTTGAAACAAGGCTTGAGCTACTACTTTATCTAAAAGTGAGCTACTGCTAACAATAGGGCTAAAGCTAGAGCTAAGGCCAATAAAAACCCAAAAAAAAGCTTTGTTTCCCCTTTAATTTTCACTTCTTCCACCTGCAAAATTAATAAACGTGACCTCGGCAAACTGTTTCAAGAACCCCTCCTTTTTTGATTATTTTCCTTCAAATCGCTCGCTTCTTTTGCATTCCAATCAGTCGGCGACGCAGCCCCCCGGACCTCCGAATTTGAGCGTTTGCCTCGTCGGGGTTGTTCGGCTCGGGAATGCTTCGAATTCCGATCTTGCGGCGACAGCAAATTCCACTTTTGTGCGTTCGAAAAGACGAAAAAAGGGGTGCAGTCGCCGTGGTGTGCGGCGTTCTGCGACAACATTTCCTTCAAGAATTTTTTTTGGCTTTTTCGGTTCGTCGCGACATTTTTTTAAAGATTTTAATTTGTCGCGACATTTTTTTAAAGATTTTGGTTCGTCGCAACATTTTTTGACTTTTCGGGTTGTTTGGACGACATTACCAGCTTTTTTCGACATTTTTTTGGTTTAAATTTTTGATTTTGTGAGTTAAAGAACGGCAAAACGTTGACGTTCTGTCGCGAAAAACGTCAAAAAATCAAGTAATTTTAATTAATTTTTTTCAAAAAGATTTGTCTGCTATTGAACTTATTATTGACTTGTAGTGAGGTGAAATGAAACCAAAGCGGTTGCATCCGCTTACATGACTTAACAATTTGAGATCAACATGCTTAGGTTTTTTATGAAAAAAAAAATTTTAAATTGAAATTGCCTGATTTTTGACACAGAATGCCAAATATTTGCAAAGAGGTTTCTTGGTCCTATATAGAGATGAGAAACGGTTCGTGTAGGTCCGGTCTAGAGTTAAATTTAGAATGGGCAGGGTCTCGGGCTCAAAAATTTTTTTAAAAATTTTTTTGAAAATTTTTTATTTTTTATTAGTTTTCAGTGTTTTTGGTACCACTATCAATAAATGACCTAAAAGACAATGCAAAGCCAATTTGTTTTACTTTTAAAGTTTTAAAGTGTTAAAAATTTTAAAACGGGATGGGGATTTTCATATTTTTTTTGGCTGGGCCAGCTTAAAAAAAGAAAACTGGCCTGGTCTAAACGTTGGGCCCCTAGCCGGGCTTTAAAGGTTGACCTGTTTTGTTTTCTACCCCTAATACTTTAACGGTTTAAAATAGATTTAATTTGAAAATTTTAACGATTTTTGAATTTAGTTTTATAATTTTAGTTTTTGTATTAGCCTCGGGAAATAGGGCAGGGGATTTTTTTAAAGCTTTTTTTGAAATGAATAAGTTAAAATTGGGATTTTTATAGTTTTTATTACTTTTTATTCGCTTATTTTAAATTTAAACTTTTTAAAATTTTTCAAATCTTCAAATGTTTAATTTTCAGTAAAATGTTCGGGCCAACATCATCACAACAAATGCTTTTATCTTCTTTAATAAACGACTCTCTATCACAAGCTAATGCCACAGTATCATCGACGACAGTTGTTGCTAATCCTTTATCAACAACGGTGTTTCCGGCTGCACCTTTACCTCCATTTTCCGCAACAACTTTGTTTCCACTTCAAAATGCGTTGTCATTGAATGCTGATATATTGAGGTTGAATGGAGTGCATCTGAATGATGAAGACAATGATTTTAGAATAAAGAACGAGGCTGAGGATCAGGTAGGGGGGAGGATTTTGGATTTTGAAGGCGGTTTTTAAAAAAGTTTTTTGATTTTTAAATTAGAAATATTAATAAAATAAAAATTTTCTTGTGTTTTTGTTATTTTATACTGTTTTAACGTGCAAAAACGTCATGACTTATTATTATTCCAACCTAAATCACCTTCCATCTTTTAGCCCCTAGACCTCTCAACCAAGAAAACCCCTCGCTGTACCCCAGAACCTTGTTCATCAACACGAATATCAGTGATTAAGTCCCCATCAGTTGGTGTTAAACGCTCAACCTCTTCAGTATCGTATCGTTCAGCTCCGGATTCTGATGTTTCCGAGCATTTCAGACGCTCGTTGAGTGGTAAATGGCCAAGACGAACTCAATATAGCTATAATGGAGGGGACAGCGATAGCAAAAGGACGTCTGCATCTAGTACACCTAGTGCTATTAGGTCACCTGCAGCTACTAGGAAACAGAGGACTTCTAAGATCATTATTAATGAAGGAGAAGGTAGGGTGATGTTTTTACTGGATAAAAAATGTATTTTAGAGTTTCAGTTCCTACCTACATGTAGTATATTATATGTAGCTATATTATCTGTACTAATCAATACCTTTTTCAGTAGAAGATCACTTCCGAAAAGCGTTGGGCGAAGAAGCCTTTAACTTATTCAAATTAGGACAACAAACCAAACCCCGGTCGAACTCAGCTCGATAAAGTGCCATAACTCGATAGTCATTGTATGTACATAATCATATATATATTGTCATAGTAAACAGATATTCTATTAGAGCTTCATTTTTTATTTTTTACATTTTGCGATAGCAGATTGTTTAAATAGTTACGTGCTCCCTAAACCCGCAAACTTGCTTTGCGAAGGGCACAGAACTATTTGAACAACATGATACTTAGGATAGGGTAGGGTAGGGTAGGGTAGGGTAGGATAGGGTAGGGTAGGGTAGGGTAGGGTAGGGTAGGGTAGGGTAGGGTAGGGTAGGATAGGGTAGGGTAGGGTAGTGTAGAGTAGGGTAGAGTAGAGTAGGGTAGGGTAGGGTAGGGTAGGGTAGGGTAGGGTAGGGTAGGGTAGGGTAGGGTAGGGTAGGGTAGGGTAGGGTAGGGTAGGGTAGGGTAGAATAGGGTAGGGTATGGTAGGGTAGGGTAGGGTAGGGTAGGGTAGGGTAGGGTAGGGTAAGGTAGGGTTGAGGTTGTTTTTCTACTTTATCTTTATTATCACGTCTTTGACCAAACTAAATTTGAAAAATTAAAAAAAGTAGTTAAAATTGTCAAAATTTACTATAATAACACAATTTTTACTTCTGCTTCAACAACTTTTTACTACTTTCGTCTAGTAGTAGCTTAACGTTACTGTATTGATCAACTTTCATAAAATTTTTATTTTTTTGAGTCGCTAAGAAATGTTCTGCCGGAACCAATTAATCAACGTTAATTACATTCCATTACCGTTCGAGATGCCATCTCGATGTTATATATGATGATAGAATTCTATTGCGTCATTGAGTGCGATTTGTTGCGAAATGTCACAAAATTTATCAGGTTTTTCGAAGTTTTTTATTGATTGTTACTGTTTTTATAGTTAAATGGTTTTGTTAATATTGTATAGCTAGTACAATACAAGTTATTGGTTTACAAAATAGCAGTATTAATTGATAATGTTGCGAAGTGTCACAAAAAAGTATTGTATTTAAAAGATTTTTTTAAAAGTGAATCAAAATGCATTCTTTACTTTTATGAATTTGCAATGAGGTCGTCCGTATTTTACCTGATTTTTACACATCTAAGATTAAATGTTGCGAAGTGTCATAAAAATTATTGATTTTTTTGCGAAATTTAATTATTGTTTGTAAGTTTTTAAAATAAAATGTCTTTATTATATAAACAAAGCAATTTAGAGGAATCTGTAAGATGTGTTGACTTCATTTCAGCACATCTCAAGCGAAATGTTGCAAAATGCCACAAAAAATATCCGATTTTTCAAATTACAAAACTAACTTTTGCCCAAGCTTATCACTTTTTTAAAACAACTTTTACGCATTTTAAAGCTACTTAAATGCAAGATCTATGAAATAACGTCGTATTAAGTTGGTCATATGTTGATGATTAAGCCGGAGGTATTAAGCGTAATATCATCGTAGATCGATATTTATGGTATCTTCCGCTTATTGACCATTTTTTATGTTACTCTTCAGCAGGAAGTCGGATAAAGTTGTTGAAATAACTTTTAAAAGGCGTAGGGACTTTAGGATAAACACATATGATTATATTGTAGTAGATGTCTGGCTAGATTTTGTTGATTTTTGAAAATATTGTAGTAGATTTGAATATTTTTTACTAATAACTAGTAAAACTAAAGACTGTGTATGAAAAACAACAAAAATATTTTATAAAACACCTTTAAACAACTCAACAAACACTTTTACAACTGTTACCACCATAAACCACAATTACAATGTTCCTCCACTCCTACTGTACTGTAATTTATGTGACTCTGTAAACTTTATGTCCTACCGTATCGACTTACAGCGATTAAGAAATGAGCGGAATTCCTTTCGGAATTCGATTGCAGCAAAAATAAAAAGCGGTTTAATTTATTGACCAAACAGAACCCGCCAATGAAAAAAGAAAACATTTTTCATTCGACGGAAACCGCACCCATCCCCAATTTAATCGACGAAAAAAGGTCACATCCGGTCACATGAGCGAAGGAATGGCGAACGCATCATAACTCGTATGTCAATATTTACATGAGTTGAATGAGTGGGTTGGGTAGACTGACATGGAAGAGGCGGAATAGAAATTTAATTAAAAAAAATATTTTTTGCAGAAACGGTTTTTGTAGTTTACAAACTTTACTAATGAAATTTTAATTTAAAACAAAAATTGTTACAGTACTCTATCTATATAAGCAACCCGAAGGGACCGACACTTTGTGTTTACTATAAGGAGTGTTATCTTTACAGAGAGATTTTTTAATGCAAATTGGCATGGCAAGACCAAATTTCTTGTTAACTATAAGGAGAGTTGCTTATACAGATGTTTCACTATATAGAGATACCACTGTAAAAAAAAAACTTTTTCGAATTTGTGAATGAAATGAAGATTATTTTTAACCTGCTCCCTAGTTAATAAAAAATACAAAAATAAACTTTTCAAAAAAAAATTTTCAGCCTTTTTTCCTTTCCCTTAAATCTGAAAAGGAGTCCACTAAGCTGAGCCAAAAGGGAGCCTTGCTCAAGTCTATTTTTCCTCTCCTGACAATTGTAAGAATACATCGTCTGTCCTGTTATTGATCAGGAAGAATAGGTGAAGGTAGAAAACACCTTTTTAAAAACTTGGTCTAGCTTCCAGTCTGGGCTTGCATCTTGTAGTAAATTTGGAATGGTATGGCCGGACGAAACTACAAGGTGTTCCAAGAAAAATGTTAAAAACTAACAAACTATAATTTTATTTCCAACAAAGCTACGCATGCCAAACTTGACATGATAAAAGATCGGAACCACTAGTTTTTTGCCAGAAAATTAGAAAGTACTGACTAACAAGGTCAAGGCTTATTTTAGACAAAACCCCACAGATACAGTGGAACTCTGGTATAAACAATAGCTTTGGATCTCCAACCAACGGCTACAAAGTGCGTTGAAAACACTTATATACTGAGACTCTTTTATAAAGAACAAACTTTAAATCTTTGAGCAATTTTTTATACAGGAGTTCCAGTGCGTATAAAAACAATAGTTTTTTTACACATTGTGACGGCTTGTATTATACCTATTCTAAAATGTAAAAACTCACTTAAACTTTTTAAAAATACCCATGCCGTACAAAATGAACTAACTGAATACGTGGACTAACTACATAAATTTGTATATTATTTCTAAATACTACATATTGTAGTGAATTGATAAAAATGGCAAAAACAATCTTTTGAATACCAGCCTGCATCTATTAGTAGTATCTTGTCTTCAAAGCAGTGTAATCTTGTGTTTATTTACGATAGAGTAGTCGAGATCATTTTACATTGAATAATTACTTTTTTGTTGTATATGACATACTTTTATAGTATGTATATAAGTACAACGTAATGTACCTAAATTTTCCAAAAAATTAGTTAGTAATAATACATCTGCCCGTATAGCTGCAAAATTAAAATACCTATAGATATACACACATCTTATCATTGCATGTAAAAACTTACATAAATACTCACAAAAAAAACACAAACATATGCACTTACTACAAAAAACTTATGTAAATGTACTAATCTACAAAGCACTTGCCCTACAGTACACACACAGCACTAAGAATCATCGACCCCTACTTAAGTGACGTACCAACAATAACATTACTGCATGTTACCCATACCACTCTTAATCCTTTGAGGTTGACGACGTCACCGCTCACCATTATCTGCATTATTTACCGTGAGTGTAAATAGCGTCTATGTAGTTAGAGTCTTATTCATCGTTATAAAGCGACTTTTGGGTCTTTGATTGGAAGGATGTTGATGTTGCGCTCACATTTTTACTTTTATGACGTTTTTGAGGTAGGAAGTAACACTTTTTGTGTTACTTAGTAGTAGGTAGTGCCATAGGGTTTATAAAGTCATAAAACTTCAAAAAAATTTATTATTTTTTCAACGCAAGACCTATAATTTGACACGTGAGAGGGATAGTGAGCAGGGCCGGGCGCGGGGGACGGGGGGTACCCCCCCTCAGAAAAAAAATTTTTGAAAAAAGTTGAACGTGGTCCCTCTGTGGATTTTTGGACCCCTGCCCCCAGACCAAAAGTCCCCGCCCGGCCCTGATGGTGAGGGTTAGGTACATAGAGAAATCTGCGCCAAAGGTTCTGCTACAAAATTTTACGACCAGTAAAGTTTTATAACAGAACTTTTGGCGCACCTTATGAAGACTATCAGAGCAATCCATTGTATCTGTCCTCAAGTATACCCCAGCTAGGTAACTCTGTTTTTTGAGCTACAGATTTGTGATGAAATGCTCTTCAAGACCTACTCTAGGATTCAAGCCGTAGTTGGCAGCCTGTGTAGGTCAAGCAACCAATTGCCAAACTAACCTAAGTTTGGTAGTTTATTGGTCGGCGCTACAATCGACTTAGCCATACCCGCCTTTTTAAGTTCTTATCTTGTTAACTGCCATAGGGTCTAAAATGGCACAAGGCATAAAATTTTATAAGACATAAAATTAAATTTGTATGCTACAAAACGTTTTTTATGTCTACGATACAATATATACAATACTGTCTATTATTTTTGATACAAGTACAACTCAAAGTAGCTACTCAACTTTTATAGTTTATAAGTAGTAGGGGGAGATTTAAAAAAGAACTTGGGTTGTCATATTTGTACCATGAAGGATGCCAAATTGACTTTTAATGACTGTCTACAATTTTCTTGCCAATTTTACCTTGACAATTTTATTTTAAATGTAATTTATGTTATCATAGGGTTATATTCATAATCTATTCTTATTAAAGGTTTTAAAAGTCTTGGCGTTTTTTGACCTAAAAAGCAGTCTTGAAGAACGACAAGACTTTTTGTAATAATTTTAGATTTGTTTTAGTATTTAATGATAGCATGGTAACAAAAACTAATTTAGACGTATTTATGTTTAGTGTTCAAGAATTTTTTTACGTTTTTCTTTTATGTTTTACCTCAAATATCTAATATGCTATCATAACGTAACTATAACATATATACGTAAAATCCTTTTTTAACTCTATTTGAATATACGTGTTACCTATACCTGAATATTCTATCGTTTACTCCACTCATACCTCAACATTCCTTACACATTCCATCACACAAACCCATAAAAACTCGCGCTAACTATACTCCATCACATAATAGTACTCGCATCCAGTACTAATGAGACATTTAGCGGCCATAAGACACCTCTCACGGGACTCATTCAATTCCTTCACCCATACCCTCTTTTACCTTGTTTTTGTGGTTGTATATAAACAAGACAGCTGCAATCATTTTCAACATTTACCGAAACTTTCTGGCCTTCGAAGGCAGCCGAAGCATGGCGGACGAGAAGGCTCAAGTTGCTGATGATGTGGAGACAGAAGAAGAGGATAATGTGGTAGAAGGGAATGGTAATCATTTGGAAGATAATGGTAATGATGAAGAAGAGAATGGAGGAGATGAAAAGGAAGAAAATGGAGATAAAGAGGAAATTCTTGGAAGTAGGTTGTTTAATCATATTTTTAGTTTTTTAATTTAAATTCGTTAAAACAACACTTTTTATGTGTTTTGGTAACGAAGTAAGAGCCAAACAAAAGCTTTTTAATTCACATGTAGCATGTGAATCTAATTTTCAAAATTATTTTTTGCTTTTTGATTTTTTTTGGATTGGCTTTGAAGAATCCACTCCCACTGAAATCTCTCCTACGCCGTCCTCTTCTAGCGACAAGAATAGAAACTAGCAAGAAGTTACAACAACATAAAGCAGAATGGTCTTGACTAAACTCAAATCGATTTTTAAGCTTGGTTTCACTCAATTTTCTGTTAAAAGACTACAAAACGTTCTTGTAAAAATGTTAGCGTTCTGTCGAAAAAAGCGTTAACAGGAAATTTGAAAAAAATTATTTTTCTCAAAAAAATTGAGTAAGTCGGTTTGAATTTGCGTTTACTAATGCATTATAATCAGTCTTTTGCCGGACCGGTCCGGTCCGCGGACGGGTCCGGTCCGGTCCGGACCGAAACAGAAATTTTTGCAGACCGGACCGGACCCAAAAACCTGCGGACCCGGACCGAAGAAAAAGCTCCGGACCGGTCCGGAAGAAAATTTTTTTTTATTTTAAGAAAACTGTTTTAAAAATTGCAAATAAATCATATTTTTAGGAGTTTTTAAGCAAAAAGAAAGCAGTTTTAGCGCTCCTTGCTTTTTTTAAAAATTAAAAAAATTTTTTTTGCGGGCCGGACCGGACCCAAAAATTTTGGGTTTGGACCGGTCCGGACTGGACCCAAAAATTTGAAGTTTGGACCGGACCGGACCCAAAAAATCGCCGGACCGGACCGGTGAAAAACGCTCCGGACCGGTCCGGACAAAACACTGATTATAATGACTTTACCAACTTAAAATATATCAAAACTGCCTGATTTGAGACAGAACCCCAACGTTTTTGGTGGACGTTCGTAGGATTTTAAAGTTTTAAAAAAACATTTTAAAATTTTCAAAAATTAACTATATTGGCTTTGATTTTAAGCATCGTCAGATAAGCACTTTTATAAGAAAGTAGACGTTTAACAGTTTTAACAATTTTTTTATAAAAAACTTTTAAAAAAAAATTTTTTAACTAAAATCTATTTTAAGAACTAGAAAAAAATTAGTCTGGATTCTTTGTAGCTAGTCAAATATTTACAACACAACAGAAAGAACGAATGAACTAGCGTGTTAGACTGTTGTACTTTTGTGATATTTAAAATTTATATAAGAAAAACGATTTTTTGATAAATTTGACGTCAAAGGCAAAAAAATCAAAATTTTATAAACCGTGCCGTAGGTAAAGCCGTAAAAAGGCCGGGCTGAACCCAAATTTACGGTCCAGCTCCACGGGTTTGGTTTAGGTTTCAGCCTTGGCCCTACATGTGCAGGCTCAGTTTGACCCCGAGCTAGGCCGAGTCTGGGTTGAGTTCAGTGAGCTTCCTTTCAGGTCTAGCCTTATTGTTAGGGCATCTTTGGTTGAGACAAAAAAAGTAAAGGATTTCCAAATAGATTTCAAACCAAAAAGATATTGTACTTAAAAATATACTGTAACTTACCATTCTTTTCTGTCAAACCCTAAAGTCATATGAATCTAGATTTCAACGACGAAGACGTACCCCACCCCGACCCTACTGGTGAACGACGATGGGAACGTGCTGAAAGACGACGCTAACCCTGATGACGTCCGAAAGCTGGAAAAACAATTGTGTAAGTATAACAACGCACTCAATTATTACAACATCCCGAATGTGAGTGGATGAAATATGTGCATGCCTTAGGGCTAATCTCCTCGGATTAAGTTCGTCCCTTTTTTATTTGATTTCGCTTATTAGCTACTGGCATACCGTGACTAGGCGTTGGCTACGCGTAGGGTCTATAAATACTGGTGGCTAGGCTTGATAGCGGCTAGACTTTGACTATCTAATACTAGCTTAGTAGTATTCTTATTAGGCTTCGTCTATTAATTGTTATTGGACTTCCTCTACTAGTGACTAACTTTGTAGTACTGCTCAGTACAATACTATATTTTTGTAGTTGTTTGACAGTATTTTAGTACTAATTTATTTACAGTATTGTAGTATTTATACAGTATTTGAGTCATGTATTCAGCAATGTTGAACCAGAAAGTCACAACCGAGACAAAGTCTGAAAAGTCGGTCGAAATGAGTAAATTGGAAAAACGTAAGGATTTGTAAGATAATTAGCGTAACAACTGGTAGACGCAGAAAAAGTAAAAACAGAGAGGAGTTTAAAATTTGAATAGTCGGGGATTCAAAGACTGTTCACTATTCAGGGCTTCCGTTATTAAAAAGCTCGTGGTCCAATATCTAGTATAGTGGCAGACGAAAATCTACAATCACTTGTTATAAAAAAGTTTCTGTTTAATCTAAAATAAAAAATTTTAAATAATTTAACTGCAATATAAAGAAAACGACTGGTAAAGTTTTGTAACAGAACTTTTGGCGCACTTTGTAATTAGTAGCCTTATTTTTACATTTTAATTTTTTGCTCTAGTAGCGTCTGGCATTATTTATTTATAAATATATTGTTTCTTTGTATTCTATGATAACATCTTAATACTCTTTGTTTTAAATTTTCTTTCAATTTTTAATTTTAAATTTTTATTGTTGTTGCCAATTTTTATATCTTATGCAGTCAAACAGCTTTAGTAAAACACTCAGAAACTGTTCTAAATATGTCCTTATTACCAGGGTACCACACTACCTCGATCATTTTTGATAGGAATCTATTATAAAAAACAGTCAAGAAGCTGTCATTATAAAGAGAGTGTCATACTATCGAGGGTCATACTGAATAGGTTCCACTGTAACTTTTATAATAAAAAAAAGTAAAATTAAAATTTCAGTAAAAAATCTGTTTTTTGAGTACAAACTGTTCCTCCAGCATTTATTGGCCATTGTGCCCTAAGGGGAAGCTCCATTTCCTTTATTGTCTTTTTGTGATCCGCTTAGTTTGAGCGTCACAATCGTCTTCAACGTCTTCGAATAGCTGTTTATTACGACTACGTAGTCGGTATTACAATTTACAGCTCATTTTCTTAAAGTTGTCTAAAGTGAAGCAGTATTAGTGTTGTACTAGGATCTTGTAGTAGGCCTCTGGCTTTAAAAAGATCTTTCTAGATTTCACTTGAAGGTACAACTAATATTTAAATACTAGGCCTTGTGGCTAGCCTACCATATAAAAAACCTTCCTAATAGGGTAAAGTGCAGTAGTTAGAATACTGTAATATTTTCTTTGAATAGAAGTTGGTACTAGTACCAATAATAGCGTCTATTACCAAAACTTTTTCTAAAATAAACTAAAGTAGCTTTAAGAAGACTAAGAAGTAGCTATGTCAATAGAAAAAGTTGATTACGGTAAGAACTCTACTACAAGACTTACAGTAGTTTAATTGTCAAGTTTTAGGTGCATTGACGGTAGCTGAAGCCAGTCGGTTGACTCCGAGAAAATGCGAAATCCTGACGGAAACATTTACTTTATTGAAACGACATCTTGTCCACAACATCCAAACTCTGTTTATTCGGTAAGTAAATTTTGAAAAATACTTTTACTTTTGATTGTAAACAACATATCATTTTAATTTTGTGGTAAAAATGTGTTGTTTAACACGAAAATTACTCAACCTGCTCCACTCAGAATAAGCTCAAAATCTTTTTATGAAGACTTTGTACCATCAATAGTACCCATAAAAAATTTTAGCCCGCTCTTTTAAGTTTTAAATTTTAATTATTTGAATTTTCCGTCAAATTGGCAAACTTGGCATTGTGCTTCAATCACTTTTTTATTTTCCGGACAAGCTACGCTTACAAATTTAAAATTGTAGGTCCATGTAAAGGCTTTTTAGTACTAGTATATCAAAGAAAAATGATTAAAAATCAAAAAAGGACAAAGTTATAAGCTTAAAACACAATGCCAATTTGGCGGGAAATTCAAAACGTAACTTTTTGACCTCGTTTTTCTCGAGATTGACTAGTAAGCGCTACTTAGTACTTAGCTGAAGACCTTACATTTACATTGTCTTTCTATATAAAAAGATTGAAATCATTCAGAGCGGAGCAGGTTGAGTACTTTCCTTGTAAGATATCACTATACTCTTGCCATCAAAACGTGTTGTTTTCGTACGAAATCTATTTCATTGTTTATTCACTTCCCATTCATTCAAAATATTTATAGTATGTTGTATGATACGTCGTAAGACTTCCTTTTTACAGTCTTAAGATATTGTAATCTTATTAGGATGACGATGCAGAGAGGTGTTATGTTGAGGTAGACAGAAACAAGGAAGTCGTAAAGATTTCAATGCAGGAAGTTAGGCTTAAGTTTTTAGGTTTTGACTGGGATTAGTATGACATATCTTGTTTTACATAGTAACAAAGTAGTATTTTAAAAAGAGTTAAGGATAAAAAAAGTGTTATTGAATTAAGATTTGTCTATACCTACGATTATAATGACGTTGCAAATGAGTGGGGTCTTATTTGACGTACTTTTAAGTACTATATTTTGATTTTTAAAACTTTGAGTTCGAAATTTTGAGGTTTGTGTGCTATAATATAACGAAAAAGTAAGACAAAGTAACTTAGAAAACTTGAACACGCCGTATTTTACGAAAAATAAAGGTATAAGGGTTGTATAGTATAGTATAGTAAATACCATTTGCTACTGTACCCTATCCGACCCTAACCCACCGAAATTACTGCATTGTTCATATTATTCTGAACCTTCTTTTAAAACAAATTCTCAAGATTAATAGGCACGGAATTATTTGTACAACCTAATATTACTTTATTGATCAGTGAAACCTACTAATCTTCCAAATATAGCCAAAAATTAAAGAAAAAGACGATGACTCGTATTTTACAACGCAATTATAGAATATTCTCGGAGTACCCCACCTACAAAGACATTTGGCCACAATTCCGTGCTATTCCGGACAGTTCGCTGATGTATTCGAATGAATTAAAGAAGCACGTTCATGTGTTCTGCAAAGGCCTCACGGCCATAATGAACTCTTTGCACACCGAAAAGGAACTCTATGTTATTCTGAGAAAACTGGCCAAAGCACATGCTCGGAAGAACGTTTACAAGAATCACATTATGGTAAGATGGTCGTATGTTTGTAGTTGTGGATGTCATAAAGCGATATTATCTAAAAACCAAAGTTATCTTACTTAAAAACTGACTGTGAAAACATTATGCATAAAGAACACTATAATAATCAAAGATACGATCTATTACTTAGTACTCAAAGATTTGATCAAATGAAAAAATCTTCACCATCAAAACTTGTTACCTAAAATCCTCCATTTTTCAGAATATGTTGCCAGAACTTTTGGCAGTCCTCAAAAGCAACGGTGTCGATGTAAACGAAGATGTGAAGGAAGCCTGGACAACCTTATTCGATGTCATTGGAAACTTGGTTGATCCTCTCAAAACCGACAATGTTTCCAACGCTTAAATTCAATATTTTTCGATTTCAAATAAACTATAGCTTTATAAACGACTTGAAAATATGTTTCTTTATTTAAACTAATAAAAAAAAGCAGTAAAAGCATGATCTTCCAATCTCAAACTTGTTTTTTAAAAAAAATTTTTGTTTTTGCGTATAAAATGGTTTCCGCGGTCTGCAAGATGAAGAAATAGCTGTTAGGACGCAGCTCGCAAAAATAAATAAAGAAAATTTTATTTTTTCGTTATTTTTTACAAAATTACCAGGTTTTACTCAAAATTCTGAATAAACTCACGATGGTGGATCCAAATAAAACTTCCCAGATGCCAGCTGACGATTTCCATGCAGCTTTGTCGATGTTGGACGATCCTTTATTGGAATCAGCCCCGGTAAACCCTTTTTAAACATTATGTTATTCCGAATTTAGAGTGCTGTTGTTGCTGACACTGCTGGAGATGTTATTATGCCGGAAGATATCAGTCTTGCGGATGAGCCAACGACTTCAGGGCTGAATGAAACGTTTGCGGTACCTAAAGTTCCAAAGAAAGCGAAGGCCGTGCCTGAAGAGAAGGAAAAGGTAGTGACTCCAGAAGAAACGGATGAAGAGCCGGAAACTAGTAAAGCTGATGAGAAAGATGAAGAGTCTCATAGGCTTATGCTTCAAGTGGTGTTGTCTAACTTTAATCAACAACAATTGGATCGATACGAAGCGATGAGGAGAGCTAGTTTTCCAAAAAGCGTCATTAAACGGGTATGGGTTATAATTTCTTTTTTAAAATTTAGGGTTCCATCAATGATTTGTAAAAATAGGCTTAATATATATCAAAAGATACTTTTAAGTTCATTTTAAGTTATCAAAGCCTTTTTTTGAAAGGGAAGAAATGGATAAGAAGAAATCAGCTAAAAACATATTTTTTGATATTATGAGTAGGGAATGTTTAATAAGCTTGTTATGAGTAGCTCTTATCATTCAATGAGGATTTTGGAACTTTGGAAGTTGGTTTAGTGTGTAACAGTTATGTCGCATAGGCATGGATAACATAAAATAACTTGTAAGACAGATTGCTTTACTTATAATTGTAGGAAATGATAATAATAACTGACTTTATGAATATGTTTTGCTAATACTTTTTACAGTTATGCAATCAATACACTGGAGTACCGATCAGTCAAAATGTAACTATAGCTATAGCCGGTATGGTAAAGGTTTTTGTTGGAGAACTGATTGAAGAAGGCGAGTATTTGCTCACTATTTTTGCATGTTATGTTTAAACTATAATTTTTTTGTATTTTTTTCAATTTAGCATTGGAATTTATATATATTTTCACAATTTCAGCACTGGATATTCAACAAAGCATGGGAGATGAGGGAGCGCTAACTCCACGTCATTTGGATTTGGCATACATGAAGTTGGACGATGCTGGGAAACTTTTTCCTGTCAAGCCGAGGAGGAATCCTTTATTGTAATATATTGAGTATGTTTTGAATTTTTGTTTTTTTATATTATGTATAAGTTGACATATCTGAAATGAGCTATTAGGTTGTTCACATAATTCTGGACCAAATGGCTATTATGTTGTTTAAATAATTGTGAGTCCTATTTCAAAGTAAATTTTTGGGTTTAGGGGACACAGAATTATTTGAACTACTTAATTTGTAGTTCACGGCCTTTAAATCGTACTATCTAGTAATATATGACGGGGCAGCTTAATATGTTTTAGTAGATGGCTAGAACAATGTTATGACCGTTTTTTTTATAAATGATATTAATTTATGTGATCTTATGTGTTTAAAACCTGAAAGAGTTTTTAAATTCAACCTTATCTTTGGCCTACGATGTTTCTTTAAACTTTTTGAATTTGTAATGGATAGAAAATGTCATAGAGTCTGTTGTTTTGAGTGCAGCAAACTCAAAATGTCTTTCGTTCTCACTTTTCAAAAATTATGTCACTCGGAACTGTTTTTCATATAATTTATTCATGCGCTTTACAGGAATAAAACAATAGTGTGAACACATAGTGACAAGAAAAACTGTACAATAAAGACCCATTTGAGTAGCATGCATAAGGAATATATTGTCTGTACAACAAAGACCAGTCTAGGTTACTGTAAAACAGGGGCGAGTGTATTTTACTATAGTAAAGTGTACCATAGTATTATACTACAATAGAGGGTATTATAGCTCAAATTGTAGTTAAAATGAAGACATTCACTTTGTTTTACAGTAACGACTAACTAAAATAACTTGTTTACAAAGTAAAATCACTTGTTGTCAGAGTAAAATCGTTAGAAACAAAGGTGAATATGTTTGAGTGACCTAATGTAATCGATGTGCCTACTGTAGTTTAAAGTTACAGTGTGGTATTTCAAAGTTACAGTGTGTGTTTGTGGTAGAATAAGTTGAGATGTGAAGTTTCCGAGTGTACAAGAATGTATTGTATTAGAAGCTACAACATAGCAAAGTGGTAAACTAACGTATAATACGTTAGAAATGACGCATCTTATCTATTATGACATTATATTATATACATTATATTAAAATAGTATAGTATAAATGCCTTATTTAAGATGTGTTAAGATAAAAAGTAACATAATGTCATAAAGGGCATTCTTTTACCTTTTCTAAGACCGTTTTTAAAGATGTATAATATAATACAAAACATATTTTAAGATGTTTTACACTGTAGAAAGATAAACTGCTACAGTTTACCTGTATACGAAGACAGACTACCCAATTATTGTTATAAGCATATGTTAACATAAGTAGAAATGTTTGAGAAAAGTCGTTTTGACAAAGGCTACAACAATATAGTACTACTGGTATCATAAAGGATGAAGGTACCATAGTTTGAAAAAAAAAAGTACAGTAGAGTTAAGTACGGTACCGCAATGTTAAAGTTTTTTAGTACTGACTTAAGACCTCAATTATAATACAGTACTAAAAAACAAATTTACAACAGCATAAGATACTGTAACGGACAGTAAACGCAAGCTCCTCGCACATTCCTCACTCTGACCTTCTGATCCTCCCTCAACGAATCGGGCTGCGCGAACACCACCTGGTCACGGTACAATCGCATCTTAGCTTCGGGAATGTGCACATTCTGTACCAGCTTCATGGGTTGCTCATTCGATTGAATCGCTGCAACACAAGTTGCGGGGAAACTCAAAAGTTGCTGCAATCGATCGGTGATTCGGAAGCCATGAAGCCAGTCAGGATCACCGTTGTCCATGATATGAAGCCGATCGCCGATGTAGAGGCCATTTGATGGGTCCATACAGCCAGGGGGGATGTAGTCGTGGGTCACTATGTGGGTTCCGACTGAAATTGTTTTAATGAGGGGATGTTTTTTTAATGTTTTTGTAAAATACGGGAAAGGGCATGTTTTTTCATTAAAATTTTTTTGGAAGGGTGGATGGGGCAGTTTAAAAATATTGAAAAATAGGGCGGGCAGTATAAAAAGATCTTTTTGCCAAGACACTTACCAACTTTCTGAATAGGAACATGTGCCTGACCAGAAATGACTGGTTGTGGTACAGGCTGAGCCGGCAGCTTCCTTGGTGATGGTGCTTTTGGTGAGACACTACGACCCCAATCATTTGACTCACCAGACGTGGCATAGCCTCGTGCTGATCGTACTGGCTTGCTTTCTAAAACTAATGAACTTTAAGGTTTTTTAAAGAATATTTTAGGCATTGAAAAAAGTTTTGTCGACAATTTGTTTGGGTTGATATGGGAAAAAACGACAAAACTTTTTTGTGCTTTTTTATGATGTTCTAGCCATAACAAAATTGATTTGAAGGTGTTTTAAAGGGTTTAATAGCTTTAAATGTTCAAATTAGCTTTGGTAATTAAATTTTTTTTTAATTTTGAAATTTTTTAAAAAACTGAAAAAAAAATTTCGAAAATTTAAAAACGTAGAAGACTACGTATTTTACCTTATCTTTAAACTCTAAAACCCCTCCAAATCCCTTAAAACCTACGAAAAGGTGATCGCATGGTAGTGGCGACCGGTGGAGGCATTTCCGCGCAGTCCAACGACAACGACTTCATTTGTTTGTTGAGTTTTGGTGCTCTCGGGCGACTGGGACCACTAACTAAAATAATTAAGGTTAGCACGTAAACAATATTCTCACACATATATAAGACTTGAGTCTATTGCAAGTTACAATTACACCTTTATTTTCAAATTGAAGCATAAAGGTAATTTTAAAAAATTTCAAAATTTCTTGAGAGTTAAATTTGAATTTTTAAAAAAGTTTTTAAAATATGCTTTAGGAGAATTTTTAGTTAGAAAAAAGATTTAAAATTTTGAAATTTCGAAGTTTCAAAATTTTTTTTAATTTTAAATTTTTAAAAACTGTAATTTTAAATCCAAATTTCAAAATCCGAAACCAAGAAGTCAGAGAACCAAAACTGGTGTGAAATACAGTGTTAACAATGCCCTATGAATCATTGTTAATGGTGTTGTCCATAACAACTTGCTTTGAATTCCTGGTGGAGGTTGGCTGGCTTGATGAAGTTGTGGAGTCGAACCCAGAAGCTGACCTCTGGAGCCGGTAGTCTCGGCGTACCCGGAATCCTGTAGCGAGACTTGCGACAAGTGTTGTGGCGACGGTGTGGCGGAATCTTGATTCGAGGAGCCGCGACGACTCCCGTATTTGCATTTGGCTTCTTTGAGAGCCAGGTAGGTTGGGTCCACGAGCGGTTCGTCATCTGAAACACCTGCGTTTTGACATTCGGGTTTAAGTGCTTGGACATTTGTTTGAAAAATTTCATGTTTAAGGGTTTGAAGCGAAGAAAAGAAGCGTTGACATTAGAATTGATTATAAGATTAGGAGATTTTGAGGTTAATATAAGGAAGAAAAGCTATTAGGTTGTTTAAATAATTCTGTGCCTCGCTTCAAAGCAAATTTGTGGGATTTGAGGAGGGGGCACAGAATTATTTGAACTTTCCTGTCTTTTTAATGGAACCACAGACTCTTCAAGTCGTTCGAAACTTGAAGAAATGTCATAGTTTGAAGTGTTTGTTGAAGTTTGTAGTTGAATATATTAAGGTACTTTGCAAGATATTTTAGTAAAAACAAAAGTTTAGAGACATGTGTTCAGGGAAGAAAATGAAAGATCAAATAGTGAAAAGAAACTTTTTTGAACTTTTGAGGGCTAAAGTACACTACTGTGTATTAACATTATATTGTTTTAAGGCATGACACGGGTAGCAGCAAGGTAAGGGTGGTGGAAAACCGATGTTAGCGGCAAGGCAAGGGTAGAGGTGAGACAAGGGTAGGGGCAATTCAACAGTAGTGGCATGACAAGGGTAGGGGCAAGTCAATGTTAGTGGCAGGGCCAGGTTAGAGGCAAGTTAAGGGTAAGGACAGGATGGGCTAAAGTAGAGTAAGGTAATGTAAGAAAGTAATGTAAGGTAGGGTAGGGTAGGATGGGGTAGGGTAGAGTAGGGTAGGGTGGGGTAGGGTAGGGTAGGGTAGGGTAGGGTAGGGTAGGGTAGGGTAGTAGGGTAGTAGGGTAGTAGGGTAGTAGGGTAGGGTAGGGTAGGGTAGGGTAGGGTAGGGTAGGGTAGGTAGGGTAGGGTAGGGCAAAGCAGGGCTGGATGGGATGGGTTAAACTAATATAGACTAAATTTGTCGTCCTCAAAGGTACAGTACCAGTTCACCAAGTTCGAAAGTTGTCCATTTCAACTTCCTCTTTTATTAACCATGTCTTTCCGAGTAATTTGATTCCATTTTCTGGTCCTTTTCGTGCTCTTTTGCCTACATTATTATCTTATTTTCGTAAAACAAGCAACCTCCTAATCCAGCCTCATCTCCCTAATAACAACCGAATTTCACAAGTATTTTGCATATTTTAAAAACTCGATGCCTTCAGTATAGAATTGTGAATAATTCATGTTTACAATGTCTTTGAAAGTGCAGGTTTAGTTTACTTTTCTGTGTTAGGCTTAACGTTTAGGCTTATCTAATTTTAAAAAAGTTTAATTTTAGTTTTACTCACAAACTGAAGGTTTTTTTTGTCTATGCTATGCTAAATACTAGGAAGTAAAACTTTTTTTTGTAAAATCTGTCTATCAAAAGTGTTGTCAACGGCTGACCAGTCATTCTTTCAATTTCTCGGCTCAGTGAAAAGGAAATGCGGAAAGTAAAACCAAAAGACATACGAGTAATTTGGTCGAATTTATGACAAGACAATAAACATGGTGCAGATTAGCATTTTTGACAAACTAAACATATTTTAGGTTATTTTTAGAAATGAGTTTAATTTTGATATATCTTTGTGTTATAGTGGTAAGTTGCAGACAATGAAATAAAAATTATTATGATGATGGCTTAGAGAGTGCTTTGGGGGTTACTCTATAGAAGTAAGTACTCACAAAGATAGCTTAGCCCTAGTACTAACCCGGAGCCCTAGTCCTTGCCCAGATCCCTACCCCTAGCCCAGAGCTCTAGCCCAGAGCCCTAGCCTAGAGCCCTAGCCCAGAGCCCTAGACTTTAGCCCTCAGTCCTGACTTCTAGTTCTAGCTGTAGCTCTAGCCATAGCCCTAGCTCTATCCGTAACCCTAGCTTTTGTTTTGCCTTACCACTGCCCTACTCATAATCCTAGTACTTATACCACCTTAGCAGTTTTTCAAAATTTTTAAATTTTGTTTTCGGTGAACATTGACTTTGTTTTCCCCTTAATACCCAACCAGATTTCCTTCATTTGGCTTTTATGCGAATTAAAATACCGCTTCGCAAACAGTTTATGAATTATTTACAGCTTTTACTTCTTGGCCTGCAAGAAAAAATGCCATAAATTATCGTCTGGAGCAGCAACATATCATTATGACTAATGGTATAGTAAATTGGGCCAGGGAAAAGTAAATCGGTTATACTATTGCATTTGAAATGGCACAATAAGGGTTATGGTCAGGGTTGGACAGTGCGCAGAATACGTTGTGGTTTGCTTTAGGGGAAGATAACTTCTATGTCATGCCCTATCTCCAAGCCTGGTTACCAAAATTACACCCCTCCTACTTTTAAGTATAAGACCCAGCACTACCTTTATGTCTTGCACAATCAAACATATCATTACTATTACATTTCATACGTGTAATACCCACATATGCCACTCTCTACTACGTCAAACATTTTTTACGACCAAAAACCTTCAATTTTAGCTGCTTTGATGTCGCCGTGAATGTTGAAATTAATTCAATTTTAACTATTCATTCCAAAAATGTTTTCTCGAATTCCCCAACGACATCAAACACGTACAATTAACACGTAATTGTGAAGCGTACGGTAGCTGTAATGTCAAGAAAAGTAATTTATTTTACTGCCATTGAATGTTTTGATGCGTTTTTTGGAGTGTCAAATGTTTTGGAATGCAAAAAAATGTTTTAGATAACATTTTGGGCTCTTTAGTACTATTTTGACAAAACGATACTAAATAACAAAGAACAACTCCGACGCCTGATACTAAGGCGCGGTTTTAGGCCAGTCTGGAGAAAACCAGACTAGCCTAAAACCGAATATTGCACTTTGCAGTATTATGAAAACAGTACCAAATAGCACTAAAGAAATAGTATAAAATAGTCCTATAAACATGATACTAAAAAGTACTATAAAAAAAGTAAAAAGTTGTACTATAACAATAGTACTAGATAAATACCATACCTCAATGGCAGTTAGCCTATTATCTCAATAATCTGTTTCGTCATGCGTATTTTCAAATTCTCCAAAACTTGTGACGCTCAAACCCTAATACCTCTATTACAACAAGCTCCTCAACAAACTCAAGACAAGTCTTCCAGAACGAAGCCAATTACGCACATAATCCGCTTTTTTTCATATTCATAGCCTGCTTAAACCGCCTAAAGCCATTTAAGTTTAAAAACAACTTCAAACCTATGGACTCATTTGAACGGAAATTACATTTGTTTTCGGCCCAAACTTTTCTTATTTTCATTAGTGCGATAATGAAAATGAAAACAAGAAGCAAAGACGGTGTTTAGAAAGAATGACAATAAGCTTCTTGGAAATTCATGCTATCAGTAAACAGTTCTTCAATTTTAAAATTAAAAAAAAGTATTTGAAAAAGTCAACAGGAGGGACCAAGTTCAACTTTAAAAAAAATAAAAAAAATTTTTTGAAAAGAATAAAAATTTCAACTTTTTTTTTTAAAATTTTAATGTTTTTGATAATATTAACACGGAGGGGGCAGGTTCATATTTTTTGCGAAAATTTAAAAAAAATTTTTTTTTTGAAAGAATCAACAGAAGGGGCCGACGAAGTTCAAACTTTTTTTTCAGAAAAATTTTCGAAAAAAAAATTTTTTGAAAGCTCTCTAAAAAATTACAGTAAATTTTTTTATGTGAACCCAAACTGAACACTATTATCTTCGCGTCAAAAGTAATTCCCACACTCGGTAGGAAAGAATAGTAAAATGAATGTAACCCCTATAACAAAAGACTAAATTGAATGACAAATATTAATGAATTATTATAAATTCTGGAAAGCGACCGTTACATTACAATTAGAATTCTATATATTATAGGTCTAAAGAAGAATAAATATGAATATACTATTGTAAATTGTAAAAAATTTGGATTTGTGCAAAGATTTTATATCCAAAAATCATTTTTAAATTGATAAATTTAAAAAGATAACATTTTTAAATTTTAAAATTCAAAAAAATCAACTTTTGAATTAAAAACTAAAAACCGTTAACCTACCATAAGCTCTCCCATCGACCGGCGACTGACTGGACTGTCCTTCAATGTGCTGTCTCTGCAAACGATAAGCTAAGTCAGATTGTGGGGCACGTTTAAGTATCCGCCGTTCCGACGCCGAAGCGATCGGAAACCTTCGTTGCAATGTCGGAGAGCCAGGAGAACTAGGATACGAATTCTGATACTTCCCCACCAATTGTTGTGAAGTCAACGCTCGTGCTGGCGGATTATACATTCTTGGCGACCTGCCATCTATAGCATAGCTTGATGTAGGTGGAGTATGTGATGGAGTATGTCGAGCCATTGGTGAGGATTTCCTCGCCTCGACGCGGATTCGTTCGCCGGTAAATAGCATTGGTTGAGAGTGACGTAGCACCGAGTCCGGATCCATATTGTTGTGGTCGAACGTACAGAGCAGAGATGGTTGGGAGCGTCGATGGTAACGTGCCAAATGGCTGTCGGGCAGGTGTGTTCGGGACGAAGAGGGCGGAAGAGGGCCTGTTTCATAGCCGGGTGCCAGAAACGTTCGCCGGCTTAACAGAAGCGTCGGCTGCGAGCCCAGCCGGTAGGATCGTTGGAACGACGCATCAGCGTTAAGTGTCCGTTCTAACGCCGTGCTTCCGTAGGCATCGAAGTTGGTCGTGTGACTGCCATTTTTAAGAGATTGCAGAAAACTTGCGCTTTGATGGCTTGGTAGTAGGGTGGCATTTTGATGCCCTAATAGTCCACTGCCTTGACCCAGTCCATTGTTTTGGCTACCCAACAGTCCATTGCATTGATGCCCAACTAGTAGCCCACCACTTTGTAGCGGGTACTGTAGTGAGGAGCGGCGACTCATTCGCTCCAGAAACTCGACGTACCCAACCGGATGCGGCAGCGGCAAAGAATCAGTGCTGGGTTGGCGAAGCCGAAACGGTGGTACGGCCGGTGGCGGGTCCAGGACTACGAAAAAGGGCGGTCGGGGTCAGAGGCAGGAAATGGAGTGCAATTCTTTCCGTCTTAAGAGAATAAAAAAGTTGGCTTTTCGAACACCTCCAACGCCTTTTGGAAGGGTTTTTTGGCCTCTGGTGTTGGGAGTGGTTGATAGGGTGATTAGTGCTGTTGAAGGGTTTTGGTACTGTTGACGAATTTTGGTATTGTTGAAGGCTCTTCGTACTGTTGAAGGTTGTTTAGGTACGATAAAAGTTTCTGCTAATAAGTTTCCACTGTTAAAACCTAGCTTTTCTACCGTCCAAACGCTCACTTCTACCCTTCAAAACGCCTGCAGAAAACCGTGGGAACAAGAAAGTTTCCAAAGAGCCCTTTAAATTATATGCCACCATTAACTGACATCAAACACGTCTTGAACAAGAAGTCCACCACCATTAACAACCACAAGGCTCTCTATCATCAAAAGAAGAAAAAATCGCTGTGGCCAACCGTATCGTCCCCTTAACTTATCAGAAAAAGACGGCTTGAACCCGGCCGTGCGCAGTTACTTTTCTTTCTTCAGGAAGACGAGTTGAAAGGCATCCAATGCCCTGAAGCGACGTCTCATTTATTACCACCAAAAACAAGTCCCGCCTTGTTTGGGGCCGCCGAAAAGTGTTAAATTCTATCGCGCAAACTTGCAGCTAATTGTTCGTACTAAGGCTTTGATATGTTTGTACTCATTCGTTGAAGCGTTTGTACTCATCTTTCATAGGCGTTCGTACTAAAACATTAAGATGTTCGTACTCAGTCTTTGCAGCATTCGTACTAAGGTCTTGATATGTTTGTACCAAGACTTTGAACCGTTCGTATTCATTCTTCGAAACGTTAATACTTAATCCTTGAAGCGTTCGTACCAAACCATTTATGGATTCGTACCAAGACTTTAAAGTATTTGTACCAAGGCCTTGACATGTTTGTACCCACTTATTGAAACGCTCGTACCAAGCCTTCATTGTGTTCGTACCAAGACTTAAAAGTGTTCGTACTCATCCTTTGGAGCGTCAACACTCATTTCCTGATGCGTTCGTACCAAGGCTTTGATATGTTTGTACTCATCTTTTAAAGCGTTAGTACCAAAGCTTTGATGTGTTCGTACTCATTCTTGGCAGCTGTCGCACCAAGGCCCTGCTATGTACGTATCAAGCCTTTGCTATGTCCCTACTGATGTTATGACAGAATTCGTGTAGTTTAACAAAATTTGCGTATCTTTTTAATTCTCCCCGGCTCTCGACGTGTAGCGAATTGTATCAAGTTTCGGATTCGACGTAACTTCACTTGTTGACAAGGATTTTAAAGTGGCTTTTGAAAGAAGTTAATAATTTAAAAAGTAAACAAGCCTCGGGGGGTTTTTGCACAAGGTTTGCCACTTTTAAATTTAACTTTTTTGTTGAAACTTCAAAAAAATTGTTTTTTTTTGTTAAAATGTGAATGAAATTTAACATTTTTTACTTTTTTCAAATTTCATTTAAAAAAAAAATTTTTTTTCAAATTTTACTTTTTTCAAAATAAAAAAAACCCTTTTCAAAATCAGCACTCACTTGTTTCGCCGGCATATTCTTGAATCTTGTCATAGCATGTACGACCTTAAGAGCAGAGGACCATTTCCTACGCGGATGGCCTGGAGCAGGACGCTCAACCGCGTCTTCGGCCGGCGCCAGCGATGGTTCTCGAGATCGGCGCATGGTTTATTTCTGTAATTACTTCAAATGAATTTTAAAAATTTTGAAAAAATACTAAAAATATTTTTTGCCGCGAAAAAAAAATTAAATTTAAATTGGGAGCAGTTACAATAGATATTCAAGTACAATATCGTTATATTTGTATTGTGTTGAGGTCGCGGAAACACAAAAATAACGCGGTAGATTAACTGCAATATGTAGGCAATAGTAAATAACAGAGAAAATAAAAAATCAAGATAAAAGATGAGGAGCTGTAGAGGTAACTGGCTAATAAATTTAGTCAAAAAACAATTTTTAGCAATGGAAAATAATTCAAAAATGTTAAAAATTGATTACAAATCAATTTTTAACTTTTTTAGTTGCAACTTCTTTAAAAAAATCAGACACACACGACGACGTATTTTACATTTTTCTACCTTTTGTAATACAAAATGTTACCTTTTTGTACAAAACGTGTTATGATACAATCAAAATGATCATTATAAATTACAATATCAAATCGACAAATGCATAAAGAAATTAGCGATTTACAATTGTTTAACCCACTTTACTAGGACATAATCGCTTGTAAATTTAGCCATAAACCTTGTTCGTATTGCTTTCCAATACCTATACTAACATAAAATCATTACTTTTTTTGACTATTTTCAAATTTCAAAATTTTTTTTTATTTTTTGAATTTTTTTTAAAAGCTAATTTTTGGAGTGAAGGGCTCAGAATTAATTGAACAACTTAACATATCTAAAGATCTTGTAATTGGCATGTTTTGATAAACTAACACAATATAACACCTACTCATGACGAAATTCTAAGATATCAAATCTCAATTAACCATAATTTAATATCAATTTCACTTATACAAGGACAATATATCAGATTTGCAAAATAATCGCCAGCGTGCGTCATGTCGTCGTCCGTGAGATGACATAACGGAAACGATTAAAGTCAGATAAAGAAAGGTTAAGCCAATGTTAAAAATGTAAAAATAAAAACAAGCGGCGGTCAAAAAGTTAAGAGAAAATAGAAAAAAAAAATTTTTTTTAAATATTGACATATTAGGTTGTTCAAATAATTCTACACCGCTCAAAGCAAATCTTCAGAGTTAAGGGCTCAGAATTATTTGAACAACTAACAGTAGGTGAAGTAAAACGATAATATGTATCTTTATATCACTATGAAAAAGTCATGTCGTTTTTCAACATTCAAACCATTGTAAAAAAACGACAAAACTTTTTAAAGACCTAATAAGCACTATTTTTATGCGCATATTAACCATGATTGCATGAAAATCAATGATTTATGTCTTTTAGCTATATTATAAATAATAGACAAGCCGTTAGAATAGTCATCCTTACAAGGAAATGATCAAAGACCTATGACTTTAAGATGTGCAAATAATTATGTGCCCCTTAGTGCAAATTTTTTAAACCGGCAAGGAAAGCTCAAATTTATTTGAACAAGCTAATAATATAAAAGAGTACACTCACATAACACCAAAACCATAAAAACCCTATAACAACTACCCCTACCATAACATAATACATAAAACAATATTGACCAAAAACCGTAAAATATAATAGTAAGACCAGACCAAGAAACCTACAAGCCCAGACCAATAAACGTACTATTGCCGAGTGATAATACTCCAAACGCACTTTCCGTGATCATCAGCCGGTAAGACGATCCGGCGGCGACAGATGACGCCAAAAAATGGGTGAGGGTGGATGGGGGTGGATATGCTGCGAAAGTCGGTCCACATCCATCACAACACCTGCACCAATCGTTTGTTTTATCGAGTGATAAAGGCCAAAATACGAATTGCAAAAAAATTCCAAGGGCTGAAGGGTCTGTTGGAAAAAATTCAAGGCTCAAGGGGTCTGAACTGGAAAAAAAATTCCGGGCTTAATTGGAGGAAAATTTTAAGCCTGAGGGGTTTTTGATCGATAGTTAATTTTTGATTAGAATATTATATTAGGTGCCGACATAAAGAACCCGCCATACTGTTTCTGTGATTTCCTGTAAAAAATGGCGGGTTCTTTATGTCGGCACCTAACATTTAAATTTATGGTAAAAATCTTTTTTTTGTGTAAAAAAGGGCATAATGAACTTCTCTTAAAAAAATTTATCTACTACTTACCTCTGCCACCCCTGCCCACAAAAAAAGCTTTTTTTGAAATTTTTTAAATATCTTTCCCTCAAAACAGAAAACTCTACCCCGCCTTTCCCTGTTCTCAAGACAAAAATCACACAAAATCACCACCTAAAATTTAAAAAAAAATTTTTTACTATTCAAAAAACGATGACACCTCTCGATTTAACAAATACAAAGCTCAAAGAATATGGCCAAGAGCAATTTGTCTTAATTAATTAAAAAATAAAAATCTTTCAGGCTACTCAATAATCAATTGTCATCAGTGTAAACAACACACTTTGTCACCTGTTTTTTGTCGTATCATCGTATACTGGTCATTTAATTAAATACTACTAGGTTTGACAGATTACTTTAGAGTTAGGGTGGTAAACAAACAAAATACAAAGCAATAGGATAATCTGAAGGGTCTGGGGGAGAGAAAGGTGCCATTTTGTACATAATAGTATTTAAAATTTGGTACATAGAGCTCGAATAGTACCAAGAATTTGGTAAATGGTGCACTACAGTACTATAATGTCTACTAGAAAATAAAAACGTTATAAAACATCTCATATATAAACCACTTATAAAGCCCAAATCATTATTTTATCACCATCAGTACCAAAAATTTGCTACATAGTGCACTACAATTAACATCTACTACAACATACAAATCTCACAGCACCTCTTAAAAACCATTACAAACCTAAAATCATAATGTTAGCATCACCAACACCTTGTTGAAATGAATAATTAACAAATCTTCCACCAGAACCTTCCAGTTGCCTTATAATCCCACTCCCAAATCGACTATAATCCCACCTTCTCAAGCCCAAATCTACTATAATATCATGATGAACACCACAATTAAAATTAATACAAAATGAGCCTAGGAAATACGATGCTATCATGCTATGTGTCGCTTCAGGAAGTCATTTAGAAAGCGTTAATCCGACAAGAAAATTAGAAAAAAAACCGTCGTTAAAAACAACCGACTAACATAATGAATACACGTCTATAACAAGTCAAAACAAGAGGAAGGGCTAGTGTAATGGACTGCAAAATGTAAAAAAATGTTTTAAAAATAATTTTTAAATATAAAAACAGAAATTTAGGTTTAACATCTGTTAAATAGATCTAAAAGCTGCAAAAATATCAGAAAAAAACCTTGATTTTTGCAGTTTTACTGCTTTAAAAATGTAAAAATTGAAATTTATAGGCATTTGAGTTAAGGTAATGTTTGCACAAACAAGTTAAAATTGTAGCACAACACATGTTTACGTTTAATGTGCTACAATTTCAACTAGACTTTGATGTATCAATATAAAAATGACACTTCAAAGTCTACTAAATTCTCTTTCCTCAAGCCCATTTTTCAAGAAAAATCAGGTTTTTAAGCTCAGAGCACTTTCAATTTTTAGTACAGTGTAACTCCTGTATAACTAATAGCTTGAAGATTTTAAATCTTTTTTGTTATAGAGAAGTTGTGACAGTATGGCGTTTAAAACACACATTTTAATGTTAGTTAGGAACTTAAAAGATGTTTGTTATAAAAAATTTCGTTATACAGGACTTCTATTGCGCGATCTTACTGGGCATTCTACAAAGGTTTACATTTCTCTACCAAAACTATTTACCATACCCTTATGACAACAAAGGGTAGGTTATGGTAAGGTAGGGTAGGATAAGGTAGGGTAGAGTAAATTTTACCTTTTCCTACCCTACCGTTCCTCTATATTTTCCCCCTTTGAACATACTGAAATGTTTTGTTCTTCCTATTTTAATTTGAAATTAAAAAAAAATTGAACCAAAAATCCAAATATTAACCATACACATTACAAAATTCTCTTATATGAACCCTGTATTACAGTAATCCCCCTAAAACCCGGAAAAAGTGCATCAATGTGCCATGCATAAGATAATCATTGTAATGTTGTTGACGTCAAAGAACAGATCGCCGCCGGTTTAAGAGCTTTTTTGTTATTTTTGAACTGACATACACAATGTCACTCGTCTTGGTCCCCTCTACTTTAAGCCATAAACAACGCTTAAACTGAATTTCGAGCATTTCCGTGTCATAATAGTACGAAGTGGTGATTGTACTATTTTTTTAACATAGTACAGTTTTTATGTCTAATGGATGTGATACGATTTTTTGGACTTAAAATACTAAAAATAATAATAAAAAGTCAAAAATAATACCCAAAAAGTAATTAAAACATCAAAAAATCAAGTCAAACCCAGATCACCAGATCAAAACCAGGTTAATTGCAGCCCAAACGTCTTCAGAAGGTCAATTATCACCAGCCACATTCGTCTTTTTAATCTTTTCTTTGCCATTTAGTGATGGACATATGGATGTCATAATTTGGCATGCCTAGTGAATATTGTTTACAATCCGTTATTTTTGCTACAGTGCTCAAAAATCAAAGTGACATGCGATATCGTTATGAAACTTTGTGCAAAATACGATGGCAGACAAAGTTTGTCAACATTGTTATTATAAAAAAAGAAAAAAAAGGGGGGGGAGGAGAAAGAGGAGGAGGAATGAAGAGTACCCTACCCTATTCTACCCTACCCTACCCCCTACTCTCTACTTTACTTTTATATACCATAATGTTCCCTCAGAAGCTCTTAAAATCAGGATATTATTATAAAGTTCAAGTTCAAAAAGTACTTTGATGTCAATAATAATGACTAATTTATAATGTTGCACTCGCTATTTGCGTATTAAAGTCACCGTATATTCTCACATAAGTAATTACTTTCTTTTTTTACTTCCTTTATCGGTTTTTCTCACACATTTTTTTATCTTTATACTGTACATCTTTTAGTTTTGGTCGTTTGACACATAGTAAACTAATTTATAGAT